AAGACACCCAGAAAATTTTAACCGACTTTTCAGTCTACGCAAACCACCCTCTAGTTCTGGACGACCGAGACGAAGTCTCCACTTTTATTTTTAACAACTACAAACCAATTTTAAAAGACAACCATACCTCCCTTGTAACCAAGTTCCTAGCCGAAACCCCTCCGTCTAAAGTTATTTGTATCCCTCCCCCAAAGATTGACCCCTCTGAAAAATCTCTCCCACGTCCCACGCGCTGTAAGCTCTCCCAACTCCGGTCTGGCTACAGCCGGCTCCTTAACACTTACCTATCCCGCCTCGACAGCTCCATCTCCCACCTTTGCCCAACCTGTTCCCTTGCCCCCCACACAACATGTCACCTTTTCAACTGCTCCCAAAACCCCTCCCCACTCACCCCAGCAGACCTGTGGCTTCGGCCGGTAGAGGTTGCTAAGTTCCTTGACCTGGAGACAGAAGAGCCCAACCCGACCCGCGTGGGCTAACAACAACAACAACATTCAGCCCGAAGCTGTCTCAAGTGGGTTCGACTCCGTAGTCTTGATGTCGTAAACACCCAGGAGAGCGATAAAAACACTATGTAACATTCGTCTACTGCAGTCACACATGAGGCTTAAGAAAAATAGGCCCTATAACTATTGGCTCAAGAGTCAGGGACACTATCTCTTGTGTTTTTCTACCTCAAATCAGTCGGAGCCAATTCGGTTCGTTTGTGACATGAGACTACGACCCGTTACAGCTTAAAGGCTACTACTAAAATATCCCCCCACTCTAGAATTAAGAACGTCCTCATACTTAGGTCTCTAGATACCCAAAATACATGAACGCCGTTAAAAACCGGGTTGGAACAATCTGTTAAGTTATTTTTTATTAGGCAGTGGAACTTTGATCCATTTCAGATGGATCAACCTAAAACTCGCCTTACCTCAACATAACAATTATAAAACACACTCTAGAATTTAAATTAGTACTCACATTGTAGCACGCTCAAGAATCAGGAAGTGAATAAGTCGGTGTGCAACTCAAGAATCAATAAAGTAACTAAAATGAGTTTAATGTTTGTCAGTTTTAATAACAAGAATAAGTTTGTACTCTAGAATGTCAGTTCTCGTGAACCATTGGGACACTCTAGCTGTCCACCTTTCCACCGAAGGTTCACTCTAGTCCAGTTTAGAATAATACTCCAATCACAACAATCCAGTTCGTGGGGATGCGCTCGTCTCTCTTCTAGATGGGACAGCTCTATTCTAGATTATTATCGCTACTGAAATTCCGAATAGCAATTTCCCACTGATTTTTCTAGCAACTTTCCCGCGATTGTCACTCGATTGTTCTGACTTCTCTTTTTTGATTTTCAGTTATCGCGAGAAAATCGTGCATGACAGGTTCCATTCGAAATTTTGAAAAATTAAATTTCACTCCAAAATTAAGTGTTTTTTTTGCTTCTCTCAAGGTCAAACTTCCAAATATGATCGACTGGCACAACAATAGTAATGATATTTGAAGGAGGTATATAACAACAAATTTGAAGTAAAATGCAACTCTTTACAATAACGTAGCACCCAATTGCAGAGCCGTTTGTGTTAAAGATCACTTGCTCTGATTTAAAAGAAGCCTTTACACGAATCATAATGCCTCCATGTACAGTTGTGTTAGAATTTGATTGTAACATTCGCCCAAATACTACACAGCGACGGAGCGTAGAAAAAATACCTATTAATGACTGGCAGGCGTCAGTTACCTTAATTCTACTCGCTTTTCACCGTCTCGACCTTGCCAGTTGATTTTCTGGTCTGTCTAGGGCAAAGTAAAAAGTTACCATTTTTAGGCCATCAGTCAAACGACTTTTGATCAGCTTTCGTTTACATGCGAACACAACCACATAGCTGAGTCTCGGATCCTCAGACTACGTGATTGTCATTAAAAACACGGCTCGAACAACCTTTTTTACATGTTTTTGTGCGACAGTTTTATATTAAATCCATTGGAGATGGATTGACCTTTTCCTTTTTCTAGCTACTCATTTTCTGAAATATCAAACAATAACGGTGTTAATTAAGAGATCTATGACATTCCAGTAGCTATAAAGTTAGTTTATACAGTCCCTTCACATAGAAAAGTCTCTGGGGGACCAAGCCTCCGCTCCCGTAATATTCCTGAGATAACGCTCTTATCTCTTCCAATTTGTGCCCCAGGAGGGTCCCGTGGTATATTTCTTCCCCCACTGAAGCCTCCTTCTCCACCAATATCTGTTGACAAGTGTCTTATCGTGCGTTGTTGCCACGATAAGAGGCTTCGTATTTTCCGTCTCTGGTACGACTGTTTTTCACAATATCTGTCGTTGTTCTTATTTTCGTCACTTTTTCAGTCAAAATGGCCGTTTTTCGTATTTGTTGTTGTTGTTGTTGTTGTTGTTGGGGATTCACAGCACTGCTGTTGGGAGTCTTGGTCCCGGCGTCTTCTCTAAAACAATGTCCACTTGTTTCTGCACGTGATACAATCACAGAATAATTGCCACGTGCACGTTGTCATTTCTGAAAATCTCTCGTTTACAAATTTCCACATCGTGTTTAAAATTCTCGTCTTGAGGCCGATTCGTTTATCAAAATGAATATATGGTTCTAATCGATTTACAATCCTACTGGTTCTGAAAACAAATTCGTTTCTCGCTTTTTCCGTTCTCACTTTTCGCATCTCAAAAATTTCTATATTTCTAGCCCGTGTGGTTCGCCTGTTTAACACTATTTCATTTCGTTCATTAGAATCAAGACTGGCAAGAAGTAAGATGTTATTTAGCTGGATGAACATGGGCAGGGGTAAAATGTTTAGCAAGCGTAGTTCGTTGATGTACACTCCCGTTTTATTTCCAGTGATCCACCGGATTGCTTTCTTTTGAAATCGCTCCAACTGCAATTGATCCCCCCTCGATATATGTGTACATGAGAGTCCGTATAATAACACTGGGAGTATTAGTGACTTATACAGGCCTAACTTTACAAACGTATTTATCTTTGCTGATAGGTTTCTTCTCAGGAGGTACAGTACTTGGTTTGCCTTCTTTAATCTTGTTTCAATGTGTACCTTCCAACTTAAATCGCCCGACACAAAAATTCCCAGATCTTTCACAACCATCGATGTTCCAAGCACTACACCAAAAAGCATAGAGTTGGCGTCTCCGCCCCTAAAACTTACTTTTGCACATTTATCTAGTGCTAATTCCATTTTGTTTTCAGTTACCCACTGCTGAATTTTGTCCAGATCTTCTTGAATTTCAATTGATGTTTTTTTGATGGAAAGTAGTTTAAGATCATCCGCAAAAATATATGGTTCAGAGAATTTGAGTACTTCAGGTAGGTCGTTAATAAAAATGCAAAAGAGCAGTGGTCCTAAAAGTGATCCTTGGGGAACACCACTAGTGACTTCTAAAACTTTTGAGCTGATATTGTCTACTCGTACAAACTGTTTCCTGTTTTTCAAATAGTCATAGAGTACCTCTGACATGCAGCCTCCTATTCCTATAAGTGCAACTTTCTTGAGTAGATCAAAATGCGGAACTTTATCAAAGGCTTTTGCAAAGTCAGTGTAGACTGCTACAATTTCTGCGTTTGAGTCATTGTCAAGCGCTTCATATATTTCTTTCAGGAAGGAGAGCATGTTTGTCAAAACTGATCTACCTTTAGTAAAACCGTGTTGATGTTTCGTCAAATACCAGGCAAAGTAAGGGTACAGGTCTTTGTATATACATGTATTTCTGAGAAATATTCTTCTTCCAATCGAAATTTTAAAAATAAAAATTCTAGAATATTCCGACCCTCCTTCGCAATACTTTTTCGTCAATAAGGCCTTTAGTCGTTCTTTTTTACGTCGCCGGAAGGTTGTGCTGTGCCATCTGGCAGAATGGCACAGATTTTCTGTTGTCCCGAAAACAGTTATAACCCAAGAGGAAGAGTTCTCTGTCTAGTGTATTGTCAATGAGCCAGGTTTCAGATATACATACTAAGTCGTATGCGTTAGTTAACAGAAATTTTGAAAAAGTTTGACGCCTTTCTGCTTAGTATAAACTCTGGATCTTATAGAATTGTGATGATAAATTTTGCAACTGTAGTCAGTCGTCTAATTCGAGTGTTTTATTTTTCAGAAATAAAACCATTTTCTGATTTTTATATCTGCTTTGTGTCTAAAGGGCATTAAAGTAATTGAGCTAAAATGGTTTTTCGAAGTTTTTGTAGCATTTTTTGAAATTTTTTATAAATACAAATTTCAGAAATAAATTTCTTTTATTGTCGATTAATGAGCACGGAGTTATTACGCATTCGAATATTCTTCTCGCAATAAGCAATGTTGTGTTGTTGCTTCTACGTAGTTTTGTTCCGATGCAGTTTTAACGTTCAGTTGTCTTATTTGGGTTTTTCGTTGAAAATGATTTCTTCTTCAGATAATTTGATATATATTTCAGACAAAAAGTATTCATTGAAAACAACTTTTTTTATATGTTCAAATTTTTGTTTTTCTAGTTCCTTTTTCAATTTTTTTTTCGCTCGAAGTCTTCTTTGCTACTTCTTCAGCGTCATGCTGTTTTAATCCTATACTTGTTCTACAGCAAGTGGTGCGAAGCTCAGCTTCGCCTCTGTGTTATAAATGTTTTCATCTGGCAATTAAAGTTTTTTTATTCTGATTGATTTTTGTCAAGAATTGAACATGACCGACTATTTTGATGCCGACCAACAACTTAATGAACTTGTGATCGAGGAAACGCGCCAATGAGTGGGAAACGCGCTAATATTTGTTACTGTATTGATGCTTAGACTATCGTACTGTAATTGAAGTGTTCTTTCTTCTAAATAATGACTTCTCGCTGCATGTTCATTGAATTCTTGTGGGTTTCACATTGGTTTTTTGTTGAATTGTTCAACCTGAAAAAGGTTGAAATTTTTTATTTTGGTTGTTCAATTAAAAACGTGAGAATAATAACAGATATTTTTCTCAGTTCTAGTTCAATTTTTCAGATCTATTTGATAAATTGAACCTCAAGCAGGTTCCTCCACCTTTCCCCTTCCCAGAAAATAATGTCCTATGGTTCTGGTGAGTGTAACCATCTGAGTCCTTTGAGTTCCCAAAGAGAAAGTTATTCTCTTTAATTCAAACTTGTCATTTCCCAATATAAGGTACTATCAAATCGTGAATAATTCCTCTAAGTCCTCTAATTTTTATTCACCCCATTCTTATTCACCCTTGTTAGCTATCGATCGATCTCTCTAGATATACTCCGAAAAATGTTCGGTTATAGGCAACAAAAGAAGAGCCATTAAAGAAGAATCCTTTGACAATTCAAATTTTTCTCGAGTGAAAAGGCGGAAGTCTAGTGTCGACAACATGTTCAATTCGTCGGATGATATTCCCATGTTTCGGGCCATCATAAAAACTTCGGTGAGTGTATATACAGCTCGATCGTTTGCAGTTTATGCCTCTTGTGTATTATGTTTTTTTACTCTTGCAGGACGCGGGTGCAATAATTGGTAAAGGTGGCGAGAACATTAAACGGCTGCGAGCCGAAGTAAGTTTTTTTCCACGCATCGTTAATTGAAAAATGGTGGACCGATGTTAAACTTTTCTTTGTTTAGTATTCTGTCAATATGTCTATTCCCGATTCCAAGTCTCCAGAAAGGTAGCATACTGTGATACAAATTGAAAATAATGAGTCGTATACTTGGTCACCCAATGATGTGTTTTAGGGTTCTGATGATCAAAGGCGAAATTGACAAAATTTGTGGGATAATATTAGAAATCTTGCCTTTATTCGAAGATGTTAGTTTGTTTGTGAACTCAGAAAGCTAAATTAGATTGAAGCCTGACATTGAAGCCTTTTCAGTTGCAAGAGAATAATAATATAGTTCAAAAATTTTATACAATATTTTCACATCTGTTTCAGTATAAAAATTTTGATGATCTCAATTTCGACGCCGAGCTGCGGATGCTTGTCTTGGCTGGTTTCGTCGGTGCAATAATGGGATCCTCTGGAACAAAGATTAAAGCTCTTCGAGAGGCTAGTATCTAATCAGTTCTCAATTCTACTCTCAGATTTTGTGGTCATCATAACGTTTATTTATAGGATACTGGAGCAAGTATTAAAGTGTACGAAGACTGCTGCCCTTTCAGCCACGAAAGAGTTTTCAGAATAAATGGTACACCTGAAGTGCTTGTAGAAGTGGTCAAACGAATCCTAGAGATCGTACAAGAATCTTCTGCGGTGAGTTCTAAATTGTCCTTATGTATTGTTAACAGTATTTGTTTCAGATGTTTATCCATTATATTTTGATGGTGCTCATATTTATCAGCAGTAGTGCCGATGATCAATATTTTTTTCAGGTTTGATTTTTCGCGGTTTGACTTGTGATGATTTCTTTTTAAGTTCAGTTCATTTCTATTGCTTAAAGGAAGGCAAACTCCACTATCGAACAGGAAAAGTGTAAAGGTCCCGAAAAACATGATCGACTTCTAATTTCGGAAATGGAAATTAATTATCAAATTTCACAGCGAAAAAAGTTTTACTTATTGATCCAGTTTTCTCAAATTGGGTTAATTTTGTTTTTCAAATGTCCATCACAAATTGTTCTACAAATTCAAAGAGCTTTAAGCCATCTATTTTTTCGAAATTTAAAAGTAAAGATTTTTGAAAACAAGTCGTTTTTTTTTAGTTTCGTTGCGTTGATGACTATTTTCCAACTGTCAGTCGGCTATGTTCACTGTGACTGAGTGGTTAATGTTGCCTATTAAGCTTCCGTGGCTTAGTAATTAGTGTGCGAGATGCTTAATCGCGAGGTGGCAGGTTCGAATCTCAGAGATGAACCAATTTTAGCTAATTCGAGGATTTTTTCTAATTTGTAATATTGCACTTTGTAGAGCTGCTCTAGAGCTGCTTATTGCACTTTGTAATATTGCACTTTGTAGAGCTGCTGTAGAGGTTTAATGCTATCTATTTTTCGAAGGCTGAGATTTTATCAAAAATAAGTTAGTTTTTTTGTTTCTGCGTTCATTGTTCTTTTCCAATCGTCAGTTGGCTGTTTTTCATGTTTATTACGGAATTCTCTTAATTTGCTATTTGCAAGTTTCTAATCTCTAAAACATATTGTTGATTTAAATGACAAAATATTTAACCTAAATTCACACTTGATTTCAATGATTGATCGCTTGTAAATTACCGCTAAATATATATTACCAGAACAAATCAGATTTAACCAGTCAGTCTGTTTTTCACATCAAACTAAGCTATCGCGAAGATACAGCAAGTTTTATCAACTCGGATACTGGGCTTTTTTCTGTAATTAACCCGCCTAAATTAAGATTCATTGCAGACATCATGACTTCTGAATTTCTATTTTGAGTCAATTCTGTCGAATAGTTTTTTGGGCATATTTGAAGTTTAAATATCCGTTCTCATTGAAAATTATCTATTCTTGTGGTTACAACTTTGACAACAGAGGTAAAACTTTTTAGGTTGATGTTTTCTGGCTAAGAGTTGTGGACTATATTATATTGGCTTTGTTACTTAATATGATGGTTCAATATGTTTGCGAATAGCTAGCCTTATCAATTTTTTTCGAACATAAGATTTTTTGTGATTAACGACTTGTCTAACAGAATCACTTGATAATTTCGTTAACTATTTTTTAGCCAGCAGACATATTTTTTTTAGCTTGGTCCAATTTTAAATGCCCGTTTTTTTAAAGTTTTTTTTGTGAAATTACTAACTAATTCAACGGTTTCATTTAATTTTCTTTTTTGATGCTGAAGTTTCCGGCTTCTGTTACCTCGGTTCAGTCGCCTTGTATTACGTCGTTTAAAGGGCGATAATATATTTCCGTGTGTCCGTGCTAATGGTGAAGGCATAAACTGAGCGGAGGATTGAAAATTTTTGGAATTGTATATGACAGCAATTTCCAGCTGAGCTCAACAGGCATAAGCTGTAGAATTGTCAAATTAATTACGACGTTGGAAGTTGTCTTTCTCTACATATTTGCCTTAAAGTTCCAAGTCAATCAACCATTTTATGTTATTGTAAATTATTTAAATGCGGGCATCACTATCTTGCCATGTTTAAGCTTTTTTCAACGTACTATTTTTGCATGTTTAACGAAAGAATTTTTCCACGTTTAAGCTAAATGGTATATTGTAATGGTTAAGAATTTTTTTTTCGATTTTCCAGTTTGTTTTAAGTAGTTATTTTAACGAGTTTAAACTAAGCAGCCCAATATTGGGACGCTATCCGGATTCCCCAAGAGCTTGCGAATTTGGCCTCCAATTTTGAATGCCCAAATTCCTTTAGTTTACGAGATAAAAAGGATTTTTGTGATTTTTTTCAAAAATTTTCAGAAAGCCCAAATTACAAAATAATTTACAAAAAAGTTCCCAGCCCTGCAGTTGGGTGCTGTCAGAGTACTCTCAAGGATTGCAAATCTTGCCTCCAAATATGACTGCTGAAATCCTTATAATTTTCGAGATATGACGTTTTTCGTGTTTTTAAAAAAATTTCAGAAAACCTAAATTAATTTTTTCAAAGTTTGAAATTCACAACCCTGTAGTTGGGTGCTCTCAGGGTACTCTAGGATGTTGCAAATCTTGCCTCGAAAAATGATTGATCAAATCCTTGTAGTTTTCGAGATATGACGTTTCTTGTGATTTTTTCAAAATTTTCAGAAAATCGATTTTTTTTCCAAAATTTGAAATTCCGAGCCCTGTAGTTGGGTGCTGTAAGGTTATTCTAAGGGATTGCAAATCTTGCCTCTAAATATGACTGTTCCAATCCTTGTAGTTTTCGAGATATGATGTTTTTTGTGATTTTAAAAAAATTTCACAAAACCTAAATTAATTTTCAAAATTTGAAATTCACAACCCTGTAGTTGGGTGCTGTCAGGGTACTCTCAGAAGTTACAAATCTTGCCAAATGCGACTGCTGAAATGCTTTTAGTTTCCAAGATGTGATGTTTTTTGATTTTTCCAAAATTTCTCAAAGAACTTCTTGCCTCTAAATATGAATGAATCTTGCCGTCTCGAATCTTGCCTCTAAATATGAATGCTCAAATCCTTTTAGTTTCCGAGAAATGACGTTTTTTAAATATTTTTTTTCGGGAAACTAGGTTTAAAAAACTCATTAAATTTGAATTTACCAACCCTATAGTAGGGTGCTCTCAGGGACTCTCAGTGGTTGCAAATCTTGCCAAATGCGACTGCTGAAATGCTTTTAGTTTCCAAGATGTGATGTTTTTTGATTTTTCCAAAATTTCTCAAAGAACTTCTTGCCTCTAAATATGAATGAATCTTGCCGTCTCGAATCTTGCCTCTAAATATGAATGCTCAAATCCTTTTAGTTTCCGAGAAATGACGTTTTTTAAATGATTTTTTTAAATATTTTTTTTCGGGAAACTAGGTTTAAAAAACTCATTAAATTTGAATTTACCAACCCTATAGTAGGGTGCTCTCAGGGACTCTCAGTGGTTGCAAATCTTGCCGCCAAATTTTTCTAGAGGCCCATTAAGTTTTCGAGATGACACTTTATGGTTTTTCAAAATTGGAATTTAAAAAATTATAAAATTTGAAATTACCAACCCTGTATGTGGGTGCAGTCAGAGTACACTAAAAGGTTGCGGATCTTGTTTCCAATATCTGCGGTTTTTCATGAGTTGTCAAAAAAATTAAAAGCACCGGAGATGCGTTACACGCTAGTGGTAAATTAAGCATATTGGACAACATTTTGTTTTTTGTTCCTAATAAGGCGTTTAAAACTGGAGTAAAACAAAATTTTCGGGGCTTAAATAAAAGTTAAACGACTCATTCTCTTAAAATAAGCATGCTCGCTTGCTTTTTTGCACGAAATAAAACTTAATTCAAAAATTTTCCACCGGTTTTTGTCGATACTGATTTTTTAATGTTCAAATTACGACAAAAAGGGCTTTAATATGATATAACGCTCGACCGATTCTGATGATTATTCGGGCTAACTGACTTGTGAGGAAAACAATAAAATTGAAAAAAAAACAGCTTAAGACAAAGTTCCTCCCCATTTTCAATGGTTGCAAAAACAATCGCGCATCTTGAAGTTATGCAATTTCATTGTCTTGATTATGGTTTAGACAAGACCTCAAAAAGAACCGGTGTACTATGACCCAAACAAAACAGCGTCGCCAGATTTTCCCGAAACGGAAATACAGCCTAGAATGTCAGGTGGATCTATGGGAGGCGCATCCTCGCGAAATTCAGGGGGGCGCGGCCACCACGGGGGTTATGGAGGATCAGGCGATGCGGGGTTCCAAGACCGGCGACCTGAGAGACATCAGAGAAACAGCGGGGGTAGTCATGGACATGGAGGCCGCGGATCAGGCAGTGGTAGGTCGATGCCTCAAATGGATGTCATGGATAATCCTTCACCTATGGGACCAGGCGCTTTTGGAACCTTCAATGAATTCTCACCCGGGCATTCTATGAGTGGTGGCGCACCCCATGGTTTTCAATCGTACGGAGGTCCCCAGTCGTTCCGTCAAGGGGGCCCAGAGTTTGCCATGGACGGAGGTGACGACACGAGGACGATGAAGGTTTCAATTAAAAATGAGGACGCAGGTGCTGTGATTGGTCCGAAGGGAGCTACGATCAACCGGGTTAGAGAGAGATCTGGCTGCAATATCAAAATAGATGACGGCAGAAGTCCAGAAAGCATAAGGGGAATGAGAATTATAACGATTACTGGAACAGACCAGCAAATTCAGTTCGCTCAATATTTGATGCAACAGAGGTTAGTGCAAGATGGTCAGTCTTTCCTTATGGGTAACATTGCTTTTTGACAATCTCCCAAGTTTGGTTGTATTAAATTTTAATTGGAAACTGACTATCAAGGCCATTTATGAAGGAAAAAACTATTCATGAGCTTTTCAGTTCTTTGCTGAGAACCTTCCTTGTTCCCCGTATTAAGACCTCTATGCTTTTTTTGGTAAGTTTTCTGGGCTATGAAACGCTGCCTCGAGTAACGAGCACGTTTTGTCTCGAACTACCAACCTTGTGACGGTTATCCATTTACCCATATATCCCAGGGCTATATATTTTTCAAAATAAACAATTGAGGTACAATTTGATTACACTTTTGTGGATCTTAAAAAGTTTGTTGAACCTCATTTTACAAAATCGAAAACGGAGTAACATGAGAAGTACAAACTCGTGAGTTAAATTCTTCGTTTCAGCGTGAAAGCGGATAATTCTCGTTTTGAGCGTGGGAATCAGCAGCGAGGGGGTGGAGGAGGAGGCGGTGGCCACCACACAGGGGGAAACAGAGGCAGGTGATGCGATGGATCACGTGATCACCCCTCACCTGCTGTATGTTTGTACCTGATTACTCTGATTCTAAGTGAAGACACCGAATGACACATTTGCTGCTGCGATTGAAATCCGCCCGGCCGCCTATCTATTTTGTATGTGAAAAATATTAACAAACTATTCAATGACTTGAAATGAATCTTTCTTGTTACTATGGAAAATTTGATTATTTAATGTGAAGATCCAATTACTTACTACAAAATATCATCCTCCTAACCCTTACACAAACACTTGTGCTGAGTCCTTAACATGCTGTGATGCAAGATTTCATTTGACCCTAGAAATAATTATCGATCAAATCAATAATTTATAAACTCTGTGTAAAATTGAACATGTTGTCTTGAACTATTAGTATTATATCAATCAGAGAAAGTTTTCTATTATGCTCAAACGTTTGGTTTCTGGAATACCTTTCAGTTTTAGATTACTCACCGATTTTTCGAAATCTATAATACGGCTTGTTCAAATTTGGTTACTGCGTTTTATATGTTGGCCTGCTCCCGCTTTATTTAACTTCACCTTTGCCCTTTCCACACAGTTTTGTTGATAGAGGATGTAAAAAATCTCAATTATCATCACAGATTCTCGTAAATGATAATGTCCAATTCAAAAAATTAGATTGCGTGTTCGTAAAAAGATTTGATATGTTAAGTTAAATATAAAATATCAATCTGTTTCTCTATCTTTGCAGTGAGTGTTTAAAACTTCTGAAACAGTCTATGAGATGTTTGTTCAAAGCCTCTTACGCTATCTAATTAAGCTCTCCCGTTCTGTAACCAAATTCAATTGTTAATTTTTTTCTCGAAACATCGTCGTTTAATTAAACATTAAATTACACCAATCAGTTTTGTGGGATTGTCGTTCCGACAAGGCTTCTACGAATCTAGTTCTCTAATCGATTTCAATTGCGTGCTGGTGTAGTCGAGATACTTTAATGTATTATACTGGGCCTATACTGGTTAACTAAAGCATAAAAACCAAAGCGTTAAATATCTTATAACGTTCACATTCTAAAGGCTTCAAGAAAGGTCAATCTGACTATTTCTGTAACTATTTTTCTTACAAAATACCGATGACTCAACATACGATTGTCTGAAAGAACGTGTTTAGTGGTGGCATAACATCTTGAGAATTCATTGGCAGGTTAATAGCATCTGTCCGACCGGCTTCATTGGTGGCTAATGGTTTTCAGATTTTTGAAGCGACCATGGAGCAGATGCGAGGGCGTGAGACTCAAAATTTGCAGGGTGGTTGTTAGATCCCGTCACATAGCGAAAGTTTTAATTATAAAGGCTTGTCTTTTTCCTGATTTAATTTTAAACGTTTTTAAAGCTGTTTCCATTTTCTCGTGAGTGTTTGCGAAATGCAGCTTCGCCCGTGTTCTGTATTTGGATTTTGCGTGTTTGTTTGTCTTAAAGTTTTCCAACAATGGTTAATGAATCCGAGCTCGTTCAGAATTTTGCCGTAGATTGGGTTTTCCAGCTGATTGTCATTACTAAGAAAGCTCCTAGAGGGTCGAGTGAAGTATCATATAAAGTTTTTCTCAGCCGTGATTGAGATTCGTTTTTGCCATTAAATACCTCAAGAGATTACTTAAAATGTGCCTAAAAAGAATTTAAACTATAATCTGCGTGGAGGGCTTATCGTGTGGAGGCTTGGTCACTTTCACAACACAAAAAAAGGATAAAAAAATAAATCTTCGATTTACCTATTTCTGTTGCAATAGATGTAGTTGGAACACTTCCGTCACGTGCTCAGCAACTGGTCATGTTTTTTATCTCAGGTGTTTTCCGCGCCAGTCCACCAATATACAGAAAACCTTGCTGATTGATAGGCGTGTTTGTATTATACTGAAAAACTTTGGACGCTGTTGAGTGATAGACACTTTTTATAATCTGAAGACCTCTAGCCATAATTCGGGCTCCAATGAAAAGCTTCGAAAAACCCAAGTTTTTCTTATGAAAAGTTTCGAAAATTGTATACGCGGTTGACTTAAAGTTTCTTTTATTTACTTCAAACTAATTTGCCAAATGAGGTAGACGAATAATTAACTTCTCGTTTTCATAAATTCATAATAACCAAATATAATTGAACAAGATTTTTAATAACGCGGAGAGGAAAGCGAACGAATCCAGGTGGATTGCAGGGTGCTGCCCTAAATTTAAAAACATTCGAACAAACTTAATAATTATAGAAGAATGGGAGTGAAATGAACAAAAACAAGATAAAATCGGCGAAAAACTTAATTAGCGAAAAATAAAATAAATATTCAACATCTGTATTGTTTTATTTCAAGAAGAGTTCGCTCAAACAACCTTACGAGTTAAGTGGTATGAAAAATAATTTCCTGACAATATGCACCTTAAGGTTAGCCGTTTGAGTGTATAAACTTGACATAATTAGCTGCAAATTTGTTTGAGAAAATGAGAGTTTGTTTGTATAATCTTCAAAAACTCGCTAGTCGTAGCCTCTCTTGTTCGGTTCAAATGTAAATTTGACTCAATTTAACAACTTAGCGGCTATTGCTTCTACTAAATATGCCTCGTCTCTGAAGCCTCCCTGACGCCAATAGAATTGGATGGAGGCTATTGGGACGTTGGGAACCTATCTAAGCTCAAGCTATTGAAACCAGTGATCAAGTCCACATACGGTTTTCAATTAGTCAGAGACCATTTGAATATCCAATTATTTAACATACTATAAAACGTCCTAAAATCAACGCTAGGTGGAAGCAAAAACATTAGCAGCTTACAGAAAATACTTATTTAGCGATGACTTCATTGCTTAAAGGGTATAATAAATCAGGTACATTGGGAACCACTGATTGAATATCTGATTGAGTTAGATTGTCGAAAGAATCCGGAATTAGAAAAATCACGTATCCGATTGAATAGTTTCAAGTCAATACATTTTTAAGGAAAAGAGTTTGATCTACGTGTCATGTGAACAGGATTCTCAAAATAGAAAAGTTTATATAAAAATTTTGCACAGTGAACTCAAATGAAGTTTGAAAAGAAATCGAAAGACAAACTTTCGAAAAGAAATCGAAAAAAGTAAATTTTAGCCTGAGCAAATTTCAAAATTTTTCCTGAAAAAAATCATCGCGATCTGTTTAAGATTCATCGACTCTTAAGAAGACACTCGCTCTCGCAAAACTATGCTGCCCATATCCCAAATATCTTCAATGGCAAGAAAAAGATTCAATCAAATAAAACGAAAATAATCTTAGCAACGAAATCAATGAAATAATCGAATCCATTACCATCAGAGTTTCGATTGAGACGCAGACAAGCTTCCTGAAACATTGAATTTAAAGTTCTTAAAGAATTTTATTCCGTTTCTTCTCCACAAAAAAAACCACTAACGCGTTAATCGATTTTGATGGTTTTGCTTTTCGACTTTTTTGAGCAATTTTTCCTTGCCCAAGAAAGTTTTTTTTCGATTTTGTGATTTCCGTCTCATTTTTTAATTACTAGCTTGCAATGCTGCGTATCGTAAGTGATGTATCGTAAGTGATGTGAAGCTTTGCTTCGCTTCTGTGTTAGAGTATATATTCAATGCTCATTGGGTTAATCCTTGTGTTAATCCTTGGGTTAATGACTTTTTCGGGTTAACAACTTGTTTAACAGAATCACTTGAATAATTTGTATCTTGAATCATGATGAAGTCAAACTTCTCTGCGCTCCCGACTATTTTCCCCTGGAAGCAACGTATATGCCTGGGACGGCAAAGGTCCTGGGTTCGAATCTGACTGGGACCTGTTTTTTTTCTTGGAAAACATACAGTTTCAAATGAATTCGTCGGCAAATTATTTGTCTCTTATCTGCTCTCAGTTTATGGTTCTGTTTTGGAATCTTTTGCTGAGCACGTTGTTTTCAAGGTTACTTTTAGTGTTTGATTTACTCCTACAATTTGTAATTTTATTTAATTTGACTTCGAATTCCTTCTTTGTTTTTTTTTTGTTTCGCTGAAAAAATTTCTCGTTCCAAATTGATTCGACCTATTTTTTATCGGCTTAACAACCTAATTTCGAAAAAAAAAATAACATTCTCCAAGTTGGTTGTATGTGTACCAATCGGTTTGTTGAAACTTATTTTTTTTTTTTGTAATTGAGAAAAATATTTCCAAAGTAATTGGAAAAATTTTAGTTTTTCTCAAAAACTTTCACCGATTTTTAAAAAGTGGTATCAAGTGAAAGACCACATACACCATTGTGTGCCTGCATACTCCCCTAGAGTCTCTTTTCACTCGACACCTTTGTCTACAGGCTTCGGAAAAGTCTGCGGGAGAATAATTAACTCATATGTTGATTTTTTTCGTTTTCTCAAAAACTATCCCTCTCAAATCTGAGTCTTTGGTTTTGATAAATAGAATATTTTTGAAAAAAATTCCCTTAGAAGCGACTACGCTCACATATTTTTTGTAGATAGAATTATGGCCATTGGAATAATCAAAGTTTTTTTATTTTTGACCGTTTCGTGAATTTTTTTGTATATTCTCAAAAACTACCCTGCCATATCTGATATTTTGGGTTCGGATCAGAGCTGATTTGCTCATGAAATTTCGCCAAGTTTTTTTCTGACACTAATTTTTTTCTGACGGAAAAATAAAAGAAAACAATTGATTATTTGGCCGTTGTTTTTTCTAAATTTTTTTGATTTTGCTCGAGAAGTAACCTCACAAATCAATCGAAATATTACAGGTTGCCTTCAATCGAAGTTACATGATACGTGATTTTTTAGTGTAAGCAGCTAAGCTCCATTTTTTCTCACGAAAAACTACGGAAATGTCAAATTTTTGATTTGTTGATACTTTTTTGGACTTTTATTGCTAATTAAACTGCCAATTCTGGTATCATAGGATTAATCGAAACAACAGGTCGTTGAAAGCCTACCTATAAAATTTTTTGTGCACAGCGTTTTAAAGCAAAAGGTATGGCCTTCAAACCAATTTTGAAGCTCCGACAGTTTTTTGGAAACTTTTTTGACTTTACGCGAAAACACCGTGCCAATTCTCAGGTTGTGTTCAATCGAGCAACCCAGTTATGGGAATCTTCTCTGCTTAAGCGATCACAACCTGCTTTTTGCAGATAGAACCATCTAATTTTAAAAAGTCTGTTGACAGTTTTTTAGAATCTTTGAACGTTGTTTTAAACTTTTTGAACTTTCTTATAATTTACACAATCACATCTGAGATGAAAAGTTCAATTAGAAGAACCAGTTGCGATAATTGTTGCTTGCTGTTGTAGTGGTGACGCCGCAGTTTTTTCTAAGAGAAATGTTATCTCCTTGAGAAAAATGATTATCTGAATTTTGTTTTTACTCTTCTCATTTATTTTTAGTAGAAAAACAACTAAGGTTTTGAGCAAATTCCAATTTTTGAAATAATATTTTTCATGCCGCATCAGTATAGCAAACTCATTCAATAACAAACACGTACATACAGCTTTAGCTGGGCCTCTAGTTTTTTCATCCAGACTTACAAAATTTTTGGTTCACCTAGTTTTTTTCAACAAATAAAGTTTATTTTTACTTATGCTTTATGTTTTTGTGCACCGCTTCGAATCTCTGTAGAAAATATCCGGTGGCTGTGGAAAAAAAAATTTGCTCTTAATTGATTCTCTACTTTTAATCTACGCAGAGAACGTTGTTTTTGCGATGTGTTATATAATTTCGTCACTACTGACTTTTATACACCGGGCCTGTTTTTTGTTGTAGAAAAGCCCATGAGATAATAAAATCAGTTCTCGCATTCTCTAATTGGAAGCATTGTTATTATCAAGCTCTCTAGGTTCATAATTTGAAATTGTGAAGCGGTTTTTTTGTTAATGAAAAAAT